ATATATATATATATAGTTCCATATACTATAATATTGTAATACAAAAATTATATAATGAATAATTAGAATGAATGATGAGTGTCATTTAATTATTGATGATAGCCAGAGAATTTATTATTATTGGGAGATGCAACGGTCTGTATACTTACCATTGGAAAAAGTGTAACGGCTAACTTGGATCACGTGAGGCACCTCAGCCAATCTTACAATGATCTCTGGTCTCCTTCCCTGCGTACCACCAAAGCCGCGGCGTTAGCATAGCCCAGGGGTCACCAAACCCAGTCCTGGAGGGCCTGAGTACTGCAGAGTTTAGCTCCAATCCCAATTAAACACACCTGAACCAGCTAATCAAGGTCTTACTAGGTATACTTAAAACTTCCAGACAGGTGTGTTGAAACAAGTTGGAGCTAAGCTTTGCAGGACACCGGACCTCCAGGACCGAGTTTGGTGACCCCTGGCATAGACATTGCGATTTTTGGCTAAAGGTTGTAGGCTCTCTGTTCTCGTCCAGGTAAAGTTCTTCATGGATAAAGTAGCGGCGCACTAAGTAATCAGTGTAGCTTTCAGCACCCTGTTTTGGTGAAAATAAAAACGACACGATTGCTCTGATAACCAACTGGTTATGTTGGCACATTGTACATTTACATTGTAATTGCGGGTTGGGGGACGTCTAGTCACCATAAAAAATATATAATTATAGGGGAAAGATGGCTTTAACTCACTATCCTTAATCTAGCTAGTGCTTGTGTCGGTTTTATGACAAAAAAAGGTTTTTATATAAAAAAAGGTGTGGATGACTAGTGGATGTGACGTTTTGTGTTCGATATATATATATGTAAATTGTCCAGGGTTTAAGTGGAAATGATTTAATGATTGTGGTAATTGAACATTGGCTAATGAATGATGACGTCAATATAATTAGTGATTTAAAAAGTGGGTGGAGGGATTGAATTGCTTTACACACTGAGGAAGGCTTTGAGCCGAAACGTTTGTGTCTTTTCCCATCAGTAATGAATGTAAAATAAAAGAAAAAAGAAGATACTAAGTAACTCAACAGATTGACGCACCAAAATAAAAAGATCAAGTAATGCAAGAGCGCAGTGCAAACGACGTTGTTAAAATATAAAATTTCTTTGCCATAAACTATTAAACCAAATATATTTAGGCTACAAAAAGACCCAGAATAAATAGATAAGGATATTCATCCAGGAATACAATATTTCATTAGATAGAATTAGATAGAATTCTCATGAGCACATTAAGCACAAAACTGAGTTCAGGGAGTGTGATAAAGAACTCAGAAGGAAAACACATTTTAATACATGTTGGTGATTTACAATTCATTACAATTCATTAGTGGAATCTAAGGACAGCAAAGGACACACACAATGTAATATTACATGATATTTAGCATAATAATAAAGACTGTGGGGAAAAAAACTGTGCTTTACAGGTATTCTATGAATGAACAGGTGTATTATTAACTTAAAATAATAAAAACAAATGTGTATATTGACAGAGCATCATATTTATGACTTTCTGAGAATTGAGATTTGTTAGGAAAATAATTGTTAGGTGAAAAAGGTTAATTCTTTCGAGCAAATGTGAATGTTATCCATTGTAACATCCCCCATCTTTTGAACACCGGTAAATTTCCTTTAACTTCTCTTTTGAATTTTCCAGCCTTTACAGTCGAGGTGTGTTTTAATCTGCCAAGGAAATATGAAACAAGGCACACCATTCTGATTGAACAATGGAATAGATTTTATGCAATATGTTCTTTCTCTGTTTGTGCTTTGGGTTTCATAGATTAATGACCATGATCATGATGTCAGTAACTGGTCAGGAGTGATGTGGATGTGATGGTAAATGCAGAGGAGGAGATGTGGAAAAGGGGATGCTATGACGTGGTTGAGATGCGCTGACAGGGGATTCATTCAGGATTACAGGGGGAATCTTGTAGAATATGGCACTCGACGTTTCTGTTTTTACTGGAAGAGAAAAAGAGTGAAATAAATGTCAGTTTTGCATATGTTCATTGCTCTCATTCAGTAAATTCACTCCAACCCTCCTCAGATTTTTCTCACCTTTTTTGTGCTTTTTGAGTGGTTGGTGGTGTCTCTTTTTGCCTCGACTCTTGAGGGCAGAGTTGTCTAGCAATTCAAATGACTGAGAGAGAGAGAGTATTTTTATCATTTATTCCACTTATTCATTAATAAAATAAAGCTAAAAGAATTAACATTCTCTCACATATTAACATAATCTAGTTACTTTCACTACAGAAAGCAATATAGAAAAATGTTCCCCACCTTGACTGCTGAAAAGTCCAGCGGAGCATCTGATGCCTTTCTTTTCATTAATGGAAAGTCATTTCTGGGAATAATATACATGTCCACACGGTCATAGATGTCTTCTGATTTGTTTGACTTACAGTCTATCCCAGCCCTTTCTTTTATTGCATTACTTGTTAGCAGTGCCTTAGGTATAGCAAATATGTTTGCATCCTGTCCCACTTGTTTTACATCCAAGTCACTGTTCGCTTTTGCTACATTGTCCTCTTGAAGATCACTAACACTGTCTTCATTGTCCTTTATGTCCTCTGACTGGTCCTGCTCTGGTGTCGGAAGAGGAACGTTCAGCTGAATATCCTTTTCTGGTTGGAGAACATCATTTGTCATTGACTGATCACTAGTGTCTTTCTCAGTTGGACTTTCTTTGCTGGGCAGGTAACTGAGCCATTCGCTCCCGGTGAATATTTCCTCCATTAAGTTGATCGGTTCAAGATTGAGTTTGAAGTCTTTTAAGGTAAATCTTCTGCTCAGAAAGACAAGAAATATTAGATTAATTTCAATCAATTTAACTCGAAACACATAGGAATTGGATGTTTTGTTTTTTACTGGTTTTAACAAGTGCAAACTAGTTATTTTCATCCCTAAATGTAGCCTTTGTAAATTCCAAACCTTTGTTGTTCCCTCAATGTATGATACAGTGATTTTAATTAACAATGGATTAACAGTGTGCAACCCAAGATATCACAAGAGGCTAAATATTTCCCCCGTTAATCTTTTGACAGATCATTGCCGTACACTTTAACAGTTTTTCCGTGTTTAGGAGTCTTGTTTTATGTGGACTAACAGTCATGCAGCATTAAAGAGCAGGACTAACAGACCTCTGTTACAACATACATGTTTGTGTTTGATTTATTCCATCACTTCACATAAAAGGAATGTCACAGGACTAGAAATATGAGCTCTGAGTTATAAATAGGTTGACTGGGTAATGCTACAATCAAGGAAGTGTAGTAGATTTTGTAAAACAAAGTTTCAAATGGAAAAAGGTCAAAAGATTATGTGCATATGGCATAAATAAAATGCATAATTGTCCTATTAAAAGTAACTCTCTCCATAAAAAATGTTCTGAAAATGCCTGTGGTTTGCAGAGTTGTTATCATTAACTAAACCTAAAACTATTCAAAATCATTTTAGCGGTCAAAAGATTATGTGCATATGGCATAAATAAAATGCATAATTGTCCTATTAAAAGTAACTCTCTCCATAAAAAATGTTCTGAAAATGCCTTTGCAGAGTTGTTATCATTAACTAAACCTAAAACTATTCAAAATCATTTTAGTTAATTGAAATGAATATGAAAATAAAACAAATATAACTTGGCAAAATGAGTTTAAGTAATACAATTACTAAAACTAAAACTGAAATAAATTAAAGCTAATTACAGTGCCTTGCGAAAGTATTCAGGTTCTTGGTCACCATGCTAACCAAAGCCCTTCTCCATCAATTGCTCAGTTTGGCCAGGAGGCCAGCTCTAGGAAGAGTCCTGGTTGTTTCAAACTTCTTCCATTAAGGATAACAGAGACCACATGCTTCTATGACCCTTCAATGAAGCAGATTTTTTCCTGAACTCTTCCCCAGACGTGTGGCTTGATGCGAACCTGTTTCTGAACTCTACAGGCAGTTCTTTTGACCTCAGGACTTGGTTTTTGCTCTGATATGCATTATCAGCTGTTAGACCTTTAATTAAGATGTGTGTGCCTTTCCAAATCATACCCATTCAATTGAATTTGCCACAGGTTAACTTCACTCGAAGTGTAGTAACATCTACAAGTAATATGAACGCTCCTGAGCTAAATTTCAACTGTCTCTGATAAGGGTATGAGTACTTATGCAATGGAATCATTTAAGTTTTTTATTTTTAATAAATTTGCAAAGATGTTAAAAACCAGTTTTTTGCTTTACCATTATGGTGCATGTAGTGTAGATTGTAATCTAATCTAAAGTAATTTAAAGCAGTTTAACATAAGGCAACAACATAACAAAATGTGAAAAAAATGAATGAAAAAAATGAATACTTTCGCAAGGCACTGTATATATATAGTTCAGTCATGAAACTCTAGATGGTGCAAGCGACGGGTTGTTAAAGTAACTGATGATATTCAGAGAGTTAAACGACTTGGCACAAGCTGATTGGTTCATGCTGGCACCGTATTGCCATATGCATTGGCAGTAGCAAGTTCCTGTACTTGCTTGCAGCAGCAGCAATAATCTACAACTACAGCAATAACCAACAGCAGCAGCAATTCAGCAGCAGCGTAGCAGATCTGTTCCGCCAAGACCAAATACATTAACATTGTCATATCCATCACCATGCTAAAATCTTCAGAGAGTTGTCATGATTGAAATATATTTTTAAGAAAAATGACAACTGAAAATAAAAAAAGTGAATTCAAATTATTATTAAATACTATAACATTATATAAATAATACTAAAATAACACTGATAGTTAGGAAATGAAATATGTTCAACGTATCCCACCTGTCTAAGAAAACATATTTCCCCTTTTTTGGTGGAAGTGGTGGTGGAATCTCTGGAGCCTCGGCTTCCATCTCAATGGAATTCAGCTGCATGGTGATTCATTGTGATTTAAGTTTGAAAAACAAGCCCAAGGAGAAGTTCAATAGTTAAAAATAAGCTAACCAAAAAAGTTATTTATCAGTTACAACATTCATTAAAGTTCATTCATAGTGTAAGAGATCTGTCATACATTAGAAGCACGAGGATAGAAGTATGAAGAAGTAAACATACATTTTGTCCTTCTTCCTCCACACTGCCTTGGATGCTTTTGCTGCCGGTGTGCTCACAATCATGTTTATCTTTAAGCTTTTCCATCAGTTTCTGAGTAAGATTTTTCATTTTGTTTTTCACTCCTTTCTTTTGCGTTTTGGTGAGTGGGATGTCATGTTCTGCATCCCCGATGCTCATGCCTGAATCCTCCTGTCCCAAAATCATAGCAGCTTTGTGGAAGCTTTTCGTTGACATTGCATTTGCAATATCTTCATATTCCCATAGGTTTGAAATACTTGGAGCTGAGAGGGGTCTCTCTTCCTTAGGCTTGTGTTGTACTGGATCTGAAGCGGACCTTGTTGTCTTGCTTGTAAGGTTCACAGCAGTTTGATGGGTCAGAACCTTGCTTGTGTCCATACTGACTGGATTTGAAGGACCACCACAAGCTTCATCTGGTGGTTCATGCTTAGACCCCGCCTGTGCAGAGTCTACTTTATCTGAGGACACAGAGAGGTAAGATGTGTGTGCAGATGTTTCTTGAGATGGATTGTTAGGCAACAATGCAGCTCCAGCTACATGCTCTTCCAGGCTAGTCTCTTTGTTCTTTTTGTCCTCCAAAAACTCACTTTTACTTGGCTGCTGACTTAATTCTGAAGCTTGTGTTTCTTTGGACAAAGAGACAGGGAGAAATCTCTTCCTCTCCCAATTAGGAAGGGCATCTGGAAGCTCTTTGACCTCTTCAACAACTTCCTTTCCGTCTTCTGTTTCAGAACTCCTAGTTTGCTCCTCATCACCATCAGATCTGACTGTGCTATCTTTCCTGTCTTCTTCATTTGTTATATGTTCTTCAGACTCCAGAGAATGGTAAAACACACTTTTACAGGCCGTATCTGGGTGTGAAATGGGATGTTTGTGTTTTAGACTAAGTTTCGCCAGCATAGACTGCAGTAGTGGAATATCATTCCGCAGACCATTCCTCACATCGCTCTGCATGAAAAGAGACATATTATGTTCTTATAAAATGAGTTCATGGCATTATTCGTCTTTTTTTTTAACTTACTTTTTAAAATATAGGTTCCAAAAAGGTGTTTTCACAGTGATACCATAGAAGAACTATTTTTGGTTCCCCAAAGAAACTTTCAGTGAACGGTTCTTAATATACCTTTTTTTTTAGTGTAAAGAACTTTTTACTAATCTAAAGAAACTTTTTCCACTATAAATAACTTTTTGTGCAATGGAAAGGTTCCATGAGTGTTAAAGGTTCTTCATGGAACCATTTATGCCAATGTAGTCCCCTAGTACTAATAGTACTATACATTGTTTTGTTTTTTTTAGAGTTTACAATACTAGTGACATACCATTTACTCTTATATATTATATATCATACAAATCTTATCACATTTGATCTTTTTGTGCTCTTTAAAAACTTAAAAGCCTTTTTTGCAAAGGAATCTTATCTATTGTATCTAGCATCTATTTTTCATACCTTTGCTGTTTCTTCCTCCATAGCCTCTCATTTTCTTTCATCCTTTACAGGTCCTTTACATTCATCCTTCAAGTCATATCCAGTATTGCTTTGTCACTTTGAAGTGTATTATACCTTATTGTCTCTTTTCTTCAAACCAGTCAACAGCACTCGCAAAGCAGTTGTGCAACCGGTGTAAAGCACCTTGTTTCTGTGCCTACCTCTCTCAGTCACTGCATGCCTTCTCTGTTGTTTATCTTCCTTGTATAGTCTAGCATTTCCGTAATGCCAAAACCTGTTTTCTAAATCTTATCTCACAATCACTTATCTCTTTCTTTCCCCATTTAATGAATGTATTTTTGCATTAAATATGAAATCTACATTAAATAACTTTGCGATAAAGTGTTTATATCATTAAAAAATGTGTTGATATTTCAAAATGTGCAGCTGAATGTAACACATAGAGGCAGGGAAACTGTAAAATATTAAGTCAATAATACCTGCCTACAGTTTACATAGAGAATAAGATGTGAATGTGTCTTAATATCAGGGCCGTAGCTGGGGTTTGCGGGGCCCCGGTGCAGGTTGTACCCGTGGGCCGTTTGAAATGCAATAAATAAATAGAACAAACATACAAATTAAATAATGTTAAAGTTTTTTCAAGTTTGTATAGGTTTTAAAGTACAGAAACAGAATAATCAAATGTAAAATATAATTGCATAATATTCACTGTATAAATTAAATATAGAATAATTCTTATTAAAACTACAAAGTAATTTAGTTAAGAACAGTGAATGATTTTCTCTCTTTTATTTTCTTAGATTAACATTAAGGACACAGACAACAGGTAGTAAATTAGGCGCAGTCACTTTAAGAGACAATGCAGTGCAAAGGACTGGCCAGCTAGAAGTAAGCACAATGGTCAGACAAACTTGACAAACAGGAATGTCTGAAGAATTCCTTCTGGGACTTTCCACTTCATCTTTGGACTACATTCTTGATCGCAAATTATTTCACTTCTTCATGACCCGTGTATGCGTTCATACATAAACACATATCTCAGCACACTTTCACAGATAGATATGCTCATATATACATCCACTCCAGTGAAAACATTTACGTTGCTTACAACATACTGTGCAGTAAATAGTATGCAGTGGTTTTGTCTTATTTATTTGTTTATTTAATTATTTATTTAGTTTGCGCAAGACCAATGTGGGCCCTGTTCCCCTGGTATAATTAATAATGAGCCAAAATCATCACAATTAAAAGAACCAAAGACTTAAACTACTTCAGTCTGTGAGCATTGAATTTATTTAATACACGAGTTTCACAATTTGAGTTGAATTACTGAAATAAATGAACTTTTCCACGACATTCTAATTTATTGAGATGCACCTGTATATATATATATATATATATATAGCTGGAATATATTGTAGCATTGCATTGTGAGATACGGTATTCCATGCAGTGTGCTATTCTGCATGTTGCATATTTTGGCAAATGTATATCAAACTTCCCGGAGGCTCACAAGCCCTGCAGAGTTTCGTTCCAACACTGCTGGAACACATATACCATGTAGTTTGCCAATAAGCCTGAATGACTTGATTGTAGTAGGACTTGATGTAGTTTTCCAGTAAGTCTGAAGGATCAGGTGCGTTGAATTAGGCTTGGCGCTGGACAATGCAGGGCTGTGGCTTTACAAGAACAGGAGTTTTGCAACGCTGGGCTATTCCATATACAGGAAATCTGCACACTGTACACATACTACAAAACTAGTATGAGCAGAACGGTTGTATGCTAAACCAATGAAAGGTAGTGGTCGTCACGTGATCTAGATTGCGGAAACCAACCTTTGTACATTGTACACATTAGTCCACGTGTTTTGCTACTGTCGTTTTGATTTGGATTGTATCTCTTTTATTTGAAAAAGAACATGTCGGCGGTCGTCCACGTTCTTATACCCTTCCTGCTTTGCATTGCGCTTGCAAACACTCACATTTTCGACAAAGTTTTAGTGGATGTCGCTTATGATCACTATGCGGAAAAGAAAGTCGACAACCTTCCTGCCTTCTTGGCCATGCCGTTTAACTGTCTGATAAACTTGGGATACATATTATTAGGTATCTACTGGATCTTGCAGCCGATGTCATACAATAAAGACACCCGTGCAGCCGCCTACACCAAAGACGTGTTTGCGCTAATGGAAGTCGCGTATGGACCGGTGCAGTGGGTCCGCTTGGCCACCTTGCGGCGAGCGCCCTCTGTTTTGGACCAGTGGTTCACTTTACCTATTTTTGCGTGGGTGCTGGTGTGGTGTCATGTCATTGACCAAGGCTGGTCGTCCCGTTACGCCTTAATGGTCGAATCGTGCTCTGTCCTCAGCTATGGACTGGCGCTCTTTCACGACCGGGGGTTTGAAGTTGCTCTGGGTTGTCACATCGCCTTCGCCGTGTTCAAAGGCGTCCGAGCACAGTTGAGCCACGGAGATACGGCGTCCATGCGCTACTTTTGCTTGGCCGTGCTGTCCTGCGCTGGTTTTGTGGTTCTGAAGCTTCTGGATCATTTTCTTGCAGAGTACTGGATGTTTCAAAATCTTACTGGACATTTCTGGTCCAAAGTTTGCGACATTCTGCAGTTTCATTACAGTTTTTGTTTTCTCACCCGCCTTAGTGAAAATGCACGCAAACGCTCTTTATAAATACCCATACATAACATTTAATGTCGTACTTACATTTAATAGGTTATATTTCATGTGTATTGTGAACACAATGCAACTGAATAATAAGACAACGATCATTACATGTTTAAACTCGTATTTTGTCTAAATGGATGCTTTGTCCACTTTCATCTTGATTATCCATTTAATGTTCAGAACAGTGTAAGAAAATAACTTGGTAATTAATCGATTTTTCAGGAAAACTGTCAAATGTCAAATATTTGGATTTCATCTCTTAGAATACAGTATTATATTTTCAAATCATCAATATATATTTTCAAATCATATACAAACTCACTATTTGAGGTATTTTAATGTGTGTGTGTATACTAATTCACTATTTGAGGCATTTTAGTGTGTGTGTTTTTCTATCCCGGTGGGGACTTAAACCTGAATACACACCAACTCATGGGGACTCGTGTCACTGTGGGGACCTAAATTGAGGTCCCCATGGGGAAATAGGCTTATAGATCATACAGAATTAGTTTTTTTTTTTTTGAGAATGTAAAAATTCAGAAAGTTTTCTTTGAGGGGTAGGTTTAGGTGTAGGCCGATAGAAAATACGGTTTGTACAGTAGAAAAACGTACGCCTATGGAGAGTCCCCACAAATATAGTAAACCAGACGTGTGTAAAAATTCACTATTTTATGCATTTTAATGTGTGTGTGTGTGTAGTTCATGATGTCATGTCCTAAGCCTCATTCTCAGGTTTTCATGAATTAAAATAACACTTTGAGCAAAAACATCTATCAGATTTATTATTAGCTGCATGTCTGCCTTTACCTACACTGCAATATTTGTATCTCAGCACACATCTAGTCATGAGACAGAGTGTAATTTCTTCCCATTAAAATCATGATGAGATGCATAACAAAATGTGTCGCACAACTTTTCAATCATCTTTATTTTAAATCTTCATATTTCAAGCCTTGTAATGCCGGTCAGCACTGGATTGGGAAAAGCTGATCTCCTTTTGTTCCAAAACAGTATGAGTACTGCTTTTCGGAAGTCTTTATTAGTGCAGTAGATAAAGGGGTTTAAACCACAGTCCAGATACGCCATTACTGATGACAGTGATCGAAGCCATTCAGGGGATGGGGATAGATCAAGCCTTCCAAGGAGAACCAACTAACAAGACAAGAATAAACAGAATAGTTAACATGGAAAAACAAATTAAAATGAAGCATTTGAAAGAGTGACTCCCAAAAAACGGACAGAACAGAAAATTATTTCACACTAACAGACATTTCTCACCTCAGATGCAGCAAATGGAGCATAGCAGAACAGATACAAGCTCACCAGCAGTGGCGTGACAGAAGACAGGTCACCCTGGCTATGAACAGATAAAATGTGGACATTTAAACTATCACAGGAAAATTGAGAAATGGGAGGAATTTGAAGATATTTGATTATTTTCTATACCCACTGTACATCTTTGATGGCCTGAGGGTGAGTAAATTTTCAGCAAATTTTCATTTTATAAGTATATAAGTTCATAAGTATATAGGTATTAATCTTTAAAACTCCATATGAATGCTTTAAATATTCTGTGTTCACCATTTCCAACTTTACGAACCTGGAACCGTCTTTTCCAAAGCCTACACAAGTCAGGATGGAGCAGGAGAGTATGAGTAGAAATGGGACGAAGATGGAGATGGAGAAGGCACAGAGGATGTAAACCAGCATGTCAGAGTAACTGCTTTCCCAGAACACTGCACACAGCACATTATTTCTGCTGGATCATACCTGAACATAGGAGGCAGAATACAGTATAGATGCATATATTCGGAGCATCTCTGAGCATCTTCACTCTGGCTCACCTTATCCAGTCAAAGGCTACTGACACTGCTCCAAATATAGCTCCAGTGCACCATGATGCCACACATGCCACCGCCATGAGAACAGACAGTCTTTTACCTTTAGAAGGAATTCCCATAAATCTCTGTACACAGAGAATAGCTGACTACAAAGAAGAAAATAATGGTATTATTGTAACATAACTCTTTTTTAAAGTCAAATTTTAAAGACACAAACGAGGAGTTTAGTTCTCAGAATAGCTTTTTCTAATTCATCTTAATAAAAAAAACTGATTTAAATAAATGTTTGAAACTCAAAGCAAGTTCAAAGACTTGCTTTAATCATGTTAAGAATTTTAGAGATTGTACATAACCAAATAATACTAATAATAATATAAACATTATATAATAATAATAAAACCATTTCATTACAAGACAAAGAAGATAAGAATGGTATTATTGTGACATAACTCTTTTTATAGATAACTTTTTTTAAGGCACAAACAAGGAGTTTAGTTTTCAGAATAACTTTATTGTATAAATCACAAACTTTGTTGTCTAGATTAATAATGAAAGAAGGAAAAATCCCAAACACTTTCATCACTTGTTAGAAATATTAATTAAAACATCAACTTTTCTGCATTTCTGAAGACAGTCGCATTGTTTGTTTTTTTTCCAATAAATATTACATTTCATTTAAGCTATGGTAGTGTGCAGGGTTTTTCTTCTTTTCTCACAATACTGTCCAACGCACCCATTCAGGTGTACAAAGGGGTGTGTATTTATTTTTCCTTACTGCTAATTACAATGAAAGCAGAATTCATAAAGATATACCATAGAGGTCAATTGTTTAGTGTCATAGCCATACCTATGCTTCCAATGGAAGAGGTGATGAAGGTGAACTTTAGCAAGCTCACCACCTCACACCACAGTGAAATCTGGCCTTCACTCAGCACAGCTAAGAGGGAGCCACAGATGATGAGGATGGAGCAGAAGAAATCTGAGAGCGTGAGACTGAAAAGTGGCAGTAAGTAAAGGCACTGAAAATAGTCTTTACACTGTGAGAAAGCAAAAAATAATAATAAAAATTAAAGGCATGATGAGGTAGGAATTACATTTTAAAATTGATTTTTTCTTTAGAGAAAAATATTCTCTCTCTCTCTCTCTCTCTCTCTATATATATATATACACAACAACAACTTATTTTATAAAATTACATATTATTCTTACCACTACTTTGACTACGAAAACCAATCCATTTCCCAAAACACCCAGTACCATCTCAGTGGTGAGAATGGGAGTGAGCACAGACTTCTCAATTTTGGACCAACAATAATTCTCCTCTGATTCCGTTATATTATCTGAAGCGTTCACTGAAATGAGTAAGAATTTTATTCAGACAAATTCACTTTCAAATTTCACAGCTTATGGGAATCAGAAATCAATTTAGCATTGAAATTCAAAAATTATACATATACATCAATCTTCGTTCTGGCAGGTGAGCAGATCGATCTATGAAACAACACTTCAACAGCACAGATTTATCTTTCACAAAACATTACAGAGAATTTGTTTAAAGGTGATCGACTTACTTTGTCACCGAAGCAGAGACCTACAGATAAACCCAACAATTAGAAAAAGGAAAGCTTCACACTCGGTTGTTTTGTGGATATGTGACACAGAGAGCTCTGAACACAGTGATTACGTGCGGACCTACGTCACAGCTTTCTGCAATTAAACTTATCCTGCTTCATTAAGCTTTAACCATCTAACACTTTTTCAGCTTTCTTCACAGTGACAGCACTAATGGCTATGTAAGCATTTGTATTAGAAAAAAAAAAGTTATTTTAGCATTTTAAACACCTGTAGAACCCATAAGGTAGTGACATAAACTTATTATATTAACTCACGTCTCACTGAACTCCTAAACTATTTTCAAAACTTATGTTTAAGCGAAGGATCTTATAAGAATACAATTTAAAAAATACAATTATTTATTATATTATATTATTAAAGTATATTTTGATTAAGAAAAAAAGATGTTTGGTGAATTATAACTGGGAATCTACCTACCTCCAGTACTCTTTGTTTATTTTCAGATTTCTGGACTCACTAATCCTTATTGTTATCTGAAGCATTCTGTAGGCTACAATAATCTTTTTTATTATTATTATATTTTTTTTTTTTGGTAAATCGGACTTTCATAAAGCCAAAGATATATATATCCAAATCTGGATTTTGCATTGGTTTAAAATATTTTATATATCTCTACAGAACAAAATTCTGAACTACAGTCAGTGTTTAATTTTTAATGATATAATAGAGAAACACGGGTTCACCATCATGGTAGTATTATTAATATTATTATTTTTTGTATGTTTTATTTATTTATTTATTATTTCAGTGCTTTTTTTTCATGCATTGTGTCTGCAAGAAAAAAGAAAAAAAAGAAGAAGAAAAAACTCACTTCCGGCGTTGTGCATGTGCATTTCCTCCATCGTCCGCTGTTTTGGTTGAGAAGAAGGCAAAATAGCGAGTGTCCGGTGAGTGCGAACTTATTTTTAAACTTTTTGCTTTCGTTGTCCATCCTTTAAGTGAGCATGCACCGCATTTTGTGGAACCGATGTAATTAATACAGTATTAAAATTAAAATATTGGCATAACAGTTATACGAATGATAACAGTGTATAACGTTAGTCATTGAAAGTCCTTGAGAAATCATCCTGTGGCTATGCTACTACAAACACCGCACTGGCATAGAAGCAAATAACACTGAGCTATATATAATTATGCAGAGATTAAATATATAAATGCACATCGCAAAAACTGTACAGTAAATATGTAAAAAGCCAAGTAGCTTGAGCTCGTGTCCTAAACCTCTTGCTGCAGTCCTACAGTATCTGTGTTGCCCAGTCAAACAGTTGCCTTATTGTTTTGGATGTGTTACATGTTGTCTATATTTTAAATAGCGATAATTGATATGTGGTGCTCAAGTTAACCACATTTATGTAGCTGCTGCTTGCTATGTCAGCGGAACCAATCTCATGGGTTTTTGTTTACGTTCTGTAAGGGGAAGTAATTCATGGTGCACTATTTTATGTAACTGCCAACTTTTATCCCAATTAAAGTTATATTAATATATAAAAGTAATGAAAGTAATATTGAATATCTTTAATGAGCCTATTGTTGATCATTAATTCGAAATAAGATGATTAAAATTTGTCAGTATATGACCACAAGAATGTTTAATGTTGTAATCTGAGAAAATAAATATAACAAACCCTAGTTTCCGTCCCTCATCTTTGTCCCTATCACTTACAGTGCACTTCATTGAGATGTCTGCGGCATTACGTGTGGTCTACACCGTATCCAGGCCAGGTGGGTCTATGAATTATTAGAAGCAATATACGAGTAAAAACAAGCAACAAATACAGTGACATTTATGTATGTCTATATATGTGACCCTGGACCACAAAAGCAGTCTCAAGTCGCTGGGGTATATTTGTAGCAATAGCCAAAAATACATTGTATGGGTCAAAATTATTGATTTTTCTTTTATGCCAAAAATCATTAGGATATTAAGTAAAGATCATGTTCCATGAAGATATTTTGTAAATTTACTACCATAAATATAAGAAAACTTAATTTTTGATTAGTAATATGCATTGCTAAGAAATTCATTTGGACAACTTTAAAGGCGATTTTCTCAGTATTTAGATTTTTTTGCACCGTCAGATTCCAGATTTTCAAATAGTTGTATCTCAACCAAATATTGTCCTATCATAACAAACCATACATCAATGGAAATCTTATTTATTCAGCGTTCAGATTATGTATACATCTCAATTTTGAAAAATTGACCCTTATGACTGGTTTTGTGGTCCATGGTCACATATGTAATCAAAATAAAGTCTTTCTTTCTCAGATGAGTGATTATGTCATGTGCTTACACCTTAGGGTCATTTCTGGCCAGTCAAAATCTTGTACGTCCTCTCAGCCTATCCGCACACAGAGCAGGGATTAGTAAGTATCTCATGGTACAAAATATGGTCTTAGTATAAAACCTTTTACTATATCGTCGCTTTTTTCTATTTGCAGAATATGTTAATAATCAGGAGGAAGCCACAGATATGAAGTCCATCACGGACCGTGCAGCTCAGACTCTTTTGTGGACAGAGCTGTTCAGAGGTCAGTGATAACATGAGACTTTTATCGTTAACTTCTAAAGCACTTCCATAAAGTCATCACTAAAATTATCCCCAGAACTCTAAAACGTAGGTCCACCTGATATTTGTCTTGATGCAGGTTTGGGAATGACCATGAGCTATCTTTTCCGTGAACCTGCCACAATCAACTACCCGTTCGAGAAGGGCCCTCTATCGCCCCGTTTCCGTGGCGAGCATGCGCTGCGCAGGTACCCCTCTGGAGAGGAGCGGTGCATTGCATGTAAACTTTGTGAGGCCATTTGTCCAGCCCAGGTACACTTTCTTTCTGATTGCCCTTGTTCATTCTAATATATCTTGACACTGTAATGACAAACAGTAATTGCATGTAGGTTTTAGGGCTGTCGCGGTCAGTGTTGGGCAGTAAAGCATTACTTAGTAACGCGTTACTGTAATTTGTTTACTTTTTTAGTAACTGAGTAATTTAACGCGTTATAATTTTCAAAATAGTAATTAGAGTATAGTTACAAGCTGAGGTCTCTATACGTTACTGCCGCGTTATATTGATGACAGAATGCAGTGTTTTATAATCTAGAGATTGTAAAAAGGATGTAGCACACGCA